AGTTATGTATGTGAAGATGTTGGTGAAGTTGGGCTGCCACAACTTTTTCCAGAACTTTAGATATAAACGGTAATTTTGAAACAGGTCTATAATGGGCAAGAATATTAGGGTCAAGTGAGGGTTTTTTCAGATAAGGGTGGATGACTGCAGTTTTAAGAGATGGTGGAACCTGACTGTCCCGTAAAGACTGATTAATAATAGTTGTGATTAATGGGCAAATGGCTGTAATACTAGACTTAAGTAATGTTGTGGGGAGAGGGTCCAGTACGCAGGTGGAAGCATTCATGCTTTTTATGATCTTCTCTACGACTGACTGGGTGACAACGGAAAGAGCTGAAAATGAGTTACTTTGTATGGGGAGGGTTATATCATCTTGAGATTCAGCTATTACAGGGAGAGCAGACTGGATTGATGCCACCTTATTAATGAAAAAGTTCATAAACCTATTACARTGATCTATACTGGTATCAGTAGGCGTGTATGTGGAAGGTTTGACCAGAGAGTTTATTTCAGAGAATAACTGTTTGGAATTCCCACGGCTATTCGAGATTTTTAGGGAAAAGTAATGGGATCTTGCTGCAGTAAGAGCTCTGGAATATGTCCTTTGGTGTTTGCGATAGGCTTGTTTGTGGACCAACAAGCCACTGGAGATAAACTGTCGTTCCAGGGCACGACCTGCAGTTTTCATTCTACGGAGTTCAGATGTAAACCATGGGGCTGATCTGGAGAAGGTAACTGTCCGAGTTTTAACTGGTGCATGAGTATCAAGAATACTGCGAAGACTGGAATTGTAATGGTTGACATAATCATTGACAGAGGCGAATTTTGTATTTAATGAGATATCCTGAATATCCTGGTTGAAAAGGATCAGATCTATTGCCTTTAAACTTCTAAATTGAATTTTACGTTTTGTTTGCATATATGTCTTTGTTAATGGCAAAGTCATGGAAATTAATTTATGATCAGACACCCCCAAATCTTCAACTTGCAGATTGGAGATGGGGGCATTATCCGTGATTACCAAATCCAAAGTGTGACCTCTTGTGTGYGTAGGTACTGAAACGTGTTGTGTGAGATGTAGACCATCCAAGAGCTCAAGAAATTCTGCAGCAGAGCGATTATTAGTCGAGTGAACATGAATATTGAAGTCCCCCAGAATGAGCGTATTACGGGATGTGGCACAAAGTGATGTCAGAAGATCTTGCAGTTCCATAATAAATCCAGTGTTGAGTTTTGGTGGGCGGTAGATGAGGAGTATCAGAATTGTCTCTTTTTGCAATTTACAATTGAAAAGAAGGCTCTCAAATGTTGTCAGCTCTGGTAGTGGGAGGGGGGTTACAGGTAAATCCCTGCGATGCAAAACGGCCAGCCCTCCACCACGYCCAGTGGTCCTAGCTTTCTCCAGATATGTATAACCTGGTGGACAAGCTTCATTTAGTGCCATATATGAACTAGGTTTGTGCCAGGTTTCAGTAAGGCACAATATGTCCACTTTTTTGTCACATATGTGATCAAAAATAAAAGTGGTTTTATTACAGAGTGATTGAGTATTGAATAGTTCTATTTTTAATTCAGAGTTGGGCTTAGCTTTTGGGAGGGTGCGAAGTAGACGAAAATCCACCCCGCGTCTTCCCTGTTGCCGCTGCTTTCCTTTATTGTCTCTTGTGTTGGTCGTCTTCCGATGACGTAACCGATGACGTGTTGAATGTGCACCACGGGAATGTAGACGGTGGATGTAATATGGGCCTGTAATGAAGCTAGTCAAATCTTGTCGGTGTTCGTGATGTAATGACAGACCGTGGGAAGATTGGGGTCGAAGGCRGTTCGGCCTCTGAACCCAGGGGCCAGCCGGAGCGGTGTGGAGATGCCGTGCCCGCGCAGAGTGGAGGTGCAGGGGGGCCAACGGTGCCATCCTTGGCTCAAACCAATAATAAGATAAGGCTTCCAAATTAAAATAAATTTGTCTGACAAAGCAGCAGCTCTCATTTACAAATGTCTCGTTTGGCTCGGTATATTTTTCCTCTCAGTAGGGTTGTTTACAGCGCACGCGATTTTCGGTTAGCTTCTTAGCTTAGCCTCCTTCACARCGACACACACACACACACACGCTTCAGCAGAGGCCACGCCTCCTGCAAGAAATCGCTTCTCAATAGCAGCGAGTCCAGACCCTTGTACGAAGCAAAGTGAAAGAAAAGGTCTGGTTTTTACCAGGCTTTCTTTGTATTTAGAGTTTAAAACACAAATTGTGTTTTAAGATCTGGAAAATCCTTAAGTCTGAATCCAGATTTTGCAGGCGGTGTAGGAACCTTGTGGACGAGTGAAAGAAGTAAAAAGAAGTGAACAGAAAGACTGATAATAATAATAATAATAATGATAATAATAATAAAAGAGAGGTACAGGTGAGTCATGCAAAGCAGTTAGCTCCCACAAACATGCAGGTTAGTTTCCAGGCCTGAAACAGCAAAGATCCTTCTGGGACAAGAAATGCTCTGAGTCTAAGGTCAGATTGTGTTTTTCTCCCCGCTGGCAGCTGAAGGAGCTCAGGGCGTACGCTCGATGCTGTGCTGAATTTAGGACAACAATTGGTGAGACGTTAATGTGTTTTTGGACATGAGAGGAACTCATGAAGATGAAGTATGTCACCACACATACAGAGCACTGAGAGACTACAGAAGTAGATGATTTGGAATTTGATGGCATGCAAAGTGACACTGTGGGCAAGCCTTTGGTCCGCTTTCTTCCACAAGGAGCCTTCACAATTTGAAGGAGAATTTGAGAAGAGAATTTGCCGAAACATGAATTTGTGACACAATTTGAGGTTTTTGTACACGTGTGCGTCGTGTATGTTTATTAAAGCAGAAAAACAGCAAAGAATACAAGCCAAAAATGTAGGAACTGCACTGGTCCTTGTTTTTTTTTCTTTTCCAATAAGACATGCATTACTTTGACAATACAAATTGTAATTTAAATACATGTTTAGGAGACATATGCTTTGTTGCTGTTAGCTATTTAAACATGGAAACCAGAGAATGACTAAAAACATACAATAAAGCTAAATAGCTCCAACACATACCTGCATCTAAAAAATCGTTTTTAAGTTTGCTGTGGAAAATCTTTTGCAACAATAAAAACAAAGGGTTAAAGGAGAAGCAATTGGCCAGAAACAGGAGGGAGTTTGACTACCTCTGAGTCCAACAAATTGTTAAAATATATAAACAAAAACATCTTGCCACATGTCACCAATTTGGAGGAAAAATGTGAAAAAAAATGCAAGCAACTGAAGGGCCAATCAGATCAAGTCTTTAAATCCAAACAACAAAAAACGTGTTTTGTATTAAAGCTCTACAGGTTTACTTCCACTGCTGCTCAAAAGAATCCTGATAAAATTCCTCGTTAGATTTGTAACCGGAATAGTTACCAGAATGATACGCACCGTGGAGCAGTTGCTGAGCCCCAGTTCTGATTGTTGTTTGGTCTTAATTTGTTGTTTCTCTATTCTAGGAAAAGTTGTTTGTGATACACAAAAACATCTAATTAATTAAAAAATTCAGTTTATTACACTTTTCAACCCTCCAGCTGTCCTTGTGGTGTGCTAACAAAGTTAGCAAGAAAAAGTCATGTCTGCCCCTTGGGGAGCCAGCCAGGACACCCACAAACACCACCTAGCAACCCAATCCATCTTTGCCCCCACAACTGCTACGTTTCAGGTAGAGGACCCCACCACACCACACATGAGTGGGGACATATGAACCCCACAAAGACAGCAGGAGGGTTGCCACCATTTTGCTACTGACAATGCATTTGGGGGATGATGATGATGATGATGATGATAGTCAAGTCAACTTTATTTATATAGCACATTTAAAAACAACTGCTGTTGGCCAAAGTGCTTCACATATTCCAACTATTAAAAATAAAGCATTACAGACAATACACAAATAATGATAAACCATAAAAACAGACCAAATAAATAGGGAAAATGACTCTCATTCTACATTAAAAGCTTTTGAAAAAAGGTGTGTTTTAAGATGAGATTTAAAAACTCCGAGTTGAGGCCTGTCTAATGTGAAAGGGCAGCTGGTTTCTATGAGAGGCCCTTTAGGCCACAATTCAAACTTGCTCTCACATGTAATATCAAACCCTCTCACACAGGGCCTCTCATAGGTTCTACAGTTTAGGAGCCACAACTGAAAATACTCGGTCACCTCTGTGGACCAGTCTGGACTGGGGGGACAGCCAAGAGCAAATGATCATGGGGGCTGAGAAATCTGGAGGACACATGGGGCTGCAGGGGGTCAGACAGGTATTCAGGAACCAGTCCATTCAGAGCCTTATAGGTCAACAATAAAAGTTTAAAATCAATCCTAAAACGAACAGGGAGCTAAAGAAGGGAAGCCAGCACTGGGGAGATATGATTACATTTCTTCATCCATGTTAAAAGGCGTGCTGCAGCGTTCTGAACCAGCTGCAGGCGTGAGAGGCCAGCCTGGTTAACACCAACATACAGAGAGTTGCAGTAGTCCAGTTGAGATGTAATAAAAGCATGGATCACACATTCAAGGTCTTTGAAAGGTAAAAATGATTTGATTTTAGATAAAAGTCTCAGTTTAAAAATGATCTTTTTACTACAAAATTAATCTGTTTCTCAAAGTTGAAGTTTGAGTCAAGGATCACACCCAAGTTTTTGACATGACATTTAACAGATGCCAAGGGACCCAGATCCATAGGAGAAACACTGCGATTACCACTGGGTCCAAAAATAATAGTTTCAGTTTTGTTTTCATTGAAGTTTAGAACATTTGAAGCCATCCAAGCTTTGATCTCAGTGATGCAATCAAACAGTGGTTTTAGTGAAGAAGAATGATTAGGCCTCATTTGAAGGTAGATCTGGGTGTCATCTGCGTAGGAGTGAAAAAGGATGTTAAATTTTCTAAAAATGGAGCCTAAGGGGAGCATGTATATGGAAAATAAAATAGGACCAAGGATGGATCCTTGGGGAACTCCACATGTGAGGGGAGCTGAGGAGGAAACGTTATTTCCACGGCTCACTGAAAAACTCCTATCAGACAGATGGGACCTGAACCAATACAGTGCAGCGCCTTTGATGCTACACTGATCCAACCTAGAGAATAAAATATTGTGGTCTACTGTATCAAACACCGCTGTCAGGTCTAAAAGCACAAGTACAGCAGAGTCTCTAAAATCTGTAGCAATTAAAAGATCATTAAAACCCTTTAAAAGTGCAGTTTCTGTGCTGTGGAGTACTTTAAAACCGGACTGATAAGTTAAAAAAAAATTGTGAGCACTTAAAAAGGACTGCAGCTGAATAAAAACTATCCTGTCTAAAACTTTTGATAAAAAAGGAAGTTTGGAGATAGGCCTAAAATTTGAAAAGACAGATGAGTCCAGGTTATGCTTCTTCAGCAACGGCTGCACAGCTTCATGTTTAAAACAGGCTGGAACAACACCTGAATTGAGACTGCTTTTAAAAATCTCTCAATTGTCAGAACCAACTACTTTAAAAACTCTCTTTAAAAAATGAGTTGAAGCAACATCATTAGGACAGGATGAAGTCTTCATGTTGTTAATTATTTTCTCCAGCTGATTAAAACACAGGCTCAAACTGATGGAAGACAGCAGAACTTGTGATGAAGATGGGAGGATAAAGAGAAGGCAGAGTGAATAGTGATCTGAGGTTTTGTATCGTATTGATAAAAAACTGCTGGAACTTCTCACAAGTTTCAGGAGAGTTGTCGAGACATGAAGATGGAGGGGTGTTCAGAACAGAGTCGATGGTGGAAAAGATAATTTGAGGGTTGTGAGCATTATTCACAATCAAATCAGAGAAGAGCTTAGCTTTTTCAACCCTGACAATGTCCTGGTATCTAAACAGACTCCCTTTCAACATAGTGTTCTTGTGTTGCACCTAACACAGACTGAACAAGATTGATAGAATCTAAAGTATTTAAAAAGTCTTTAACCAATGGTTTAATGCAGAGGTGCCCAAACCTTTTTTGAACCAAGAGCTACTTTCGAAGTCAGCAGTTTGTCGAGGGCTACTCGTCCAGTCTCAGTATCAAAAAAACATAATTTTTCGTCTCCCTACTCCTCACTTCTTTAAAGTAAATAAAACAGAACGTAATGTGTTGCTAGTTTTATTTAATTTACAGGTGCTGGTCATAAAATTAGAATATCATGAAAAAGTAGATTTATTTCAGTAATTCCATTTAAAAAGT